GGCTACCGAGCCCCGCGGCGGGCAGGCCCCTACCGCATGCCCCCTGTGTACAGACAAAAACCGCAGTCAGCAAGCGCAGGGTTAGTGCAACGCACGCCACAGCCACGCGGGCACACACACACCGACACGACGCGGACACACACAGCACAAGACACGCATGCACATGGCGGGGGGACGAGGATGGCACAGTGGGGTACGTGTCTCCTGGCACGCGTGCTCCTCCTTTCCCTGTACGGGTCAAGCGTGTGCAGGGGGGCATCTCATGGGGAATCGGGCCCTGCTATGTGCCAGGCCCTGCCGGGGGCCCACACCCCTCGCACCCCCAGGCTGGAGGGACCAGCGTGAACAGGGGTGTGAAATGGAGACGGGAGCTCGGCCACGGGTGGGAACCGACTCAGGTGCCAGTGCCAGCTCCGGACCAGGAGGTGCCACCCGTGGCCTGTGGCTGGCCAAGCTGGGGGGGTGGTGGACCCGGCTGAGGGAAGTGCCTGTGTTGGTGCCAGGGCCAGAGCTGGCCCCATGACCCGGCCTCCATGGTGCCGGGCAGGCTTCTGCCCAGGCCAGAGCCCCAGGGTGCCTCTAGCCCGGCCCACGTGCTCTAGCCACAGCAGCAGGAGGCGCTGTGGGCGCGTGGGAGGGGCTGGACCGGGGCAGCTGCTGCGGGAAAGGGGCACAGGGGAGAAGCCTCTTCCAGAGACCAACACCCAAAGGGTCCTGCAGCGAAGGGCACCACAGAGCTGGCAAGACGGGGTGGTGTGTGCGAGTGCTGCCACTCAGGCCCACGCCAGGGTGGGAGGGCAGGGGCTGTGGGTCGGGAGTGAGGGGCACCAGTCGGGTTGGTGGGGCAGAGGGCTGCGGATTGGAAGTGAGGGGCGCCAGCAGGGCTGGGGAGGGGGCAGGGGCTGTGGGTCGGGAGTGAGGGGCACCAGCAGGGCCAGGAGGTGCGGACAAGCGGGTGAGGACAGACCCCCCCTGCCCACCCAGCTGCGCCCTCAGTCTGGAGGAGCCGTGCCGGGGCCCCAGGTACCGTCACCACCGGGGTCTGGGTTGGGGCAGAAGGACCTGGCTGCATTACCTCTGACCTCCAGCTTGGCCTCGCACTGCCGCGTGCCGTACTCATTGATGGCCTTGCAGACATAGTAGCCAGAATCGGTGAGCTCAGCCGCCGCGATGCGCAGCGTGAAGGCACCGCCATCCTCCTCCTCCACCGCACGGTGCCGGCGCCCGTACTTCACCGGCTGCCGGTTCCTCAGCCTGGGCCGGGCACAGTGCAGTCAGGCCCCACGGCACTACAGCAGCCCCGTCCCCTTGGGGTCCTGCCACCCCCCGCCCACCCCGCGCTCACCAGTAGATGATGGGCTTGGGCTCCCCACGGACCCGCACGCTCATGTTGACGTCCTGCCCCTCCAGCACCGCCTGGTCCGACAGCGTCGCCTGCGGAGGGGACGGTCAGGGACCTGTGCCGGGGCTGCCCAGAGCCCTGGCACAGGCCTGGGCCCACAGAGCCGGCCCAGCACTCGCCCCTGCCGCGTGCTCACCTCGAAGGCTGGCGCCGCCTTGATGCCGGGGTCCGGGGCACGGGCCCGGGGGGCGGGAGGCTCAGGCAGATCCTCCGGGGGGCTCAGGTACTCCTCATCCGAGGCCACCGGGCTGGCCAGGGGCCGGGGAGGCGCGGGGGCACCGTGCCAGGGCATGGGCAGCGCTGCCATGGGACATGCGCCCAGCTCAGCTCCCGCTTCAGCTGCAGAGACCCCCACCCTGCCCGGCCCCGCAGCCCCTTGCCTGGGAGCAAGGACGAGGGGCTGAGCTGTGCCCGTGACCTGTGACCACGACCTTGACTCTGGACAGGAGCCGGGGGCAGGGAGGGCACAGTAGGGGCTCGGGGAGGCCAGGACCACGGCACTCACCAGGCGGCTCAGGCGACTGCATCCCAGCTGCGGTGCACCCCTGCAGCCCCCCTGGCCTGGCCCGGCCCCTCCCCACCCAGGCACTGGGTCCCACCACTGCCAGCCCTACGTGGGGAGGCTTGGGGGGTCCCAGAGCAGCCCCCCAGCTGCTGCCCAAAAGACAGCCAAGCTCAGGGGCACCCCAAGTGACTCCTGCACCCCCCTGGGACCTCCCCCACTTCCCAGGCCAGGCCCCAGCAGCAGGGCCCCCCCACACCAGTCCCTGCAGCTGGATCAGGGCCGCAGGGAAGGAAGCGGAGCCCGAGCCGGTGCACGTCAGCTCCGGGCTCAGGCAGCGCCTTGCAGGGTAAC